CATAAATCACAATGTATTCGATCATTACACATATTCGAATATATTTGGTTTTTATTCGAATATTCAAAATCGAATGTTTTAAATGTCGATTTTTTCACCAATTCAAATTATGATGTATCCTACCTTATTTTTTCCAGACATATGTTTACTAAAATGAATATTGAAACTTAATAAACTAGAGAAGTAGAGAGAGGGTATGGTTTGATTAATATTACCTTTTTTAATTATTTAATTTAAATTATTATATACTATAACTATAATGTAATATATATAGTTCGTATACTTCGAATATAATCAAATAATATAGAAATTGAGTATATGTATATTCATATCGTATTCGAAAGTTATTTGAATTCCAAAACTAGTTCATACTTGATTATTTCGAATTCGAATCACAATTTCGAATTTGAAACTCGAATCGAATTAAAATTATTCGATTCATTTACAACCCTATTTAGGGCTTGGCATAAGGTTTAAAAAGGCCTAAACGATGTCATTTTGATATTTTAGAATAAAAATTTCAAAAAAAAAAAACAGGGGTACTCCGAATAATATACACAATCAATATATGTGTATTCATATTAGAAAGTTATTTGAATACCAAAACTAATCTGTATTTGAATCCACAATTTCGAATCTGAATCGCGAAATGGATTAAGATTATTCATTTCGTTTATAACCCCCTAGTTAGGACTTGGTAGGGGTTAACAAAAAGACTAAAACGACCTCGTTTTGGTCTTTGAAAATAAAGTGTTTGAAAAAACCAAAAAAATAAGGTGAGGGGAGTCGAACCCAGCACCTCACGCAAGAACTAAGCCACTATCCTCTCTTATGCTCACATTCTACTGAAACTGTGCTTTGGTTCTTTGGTCGCCTTTGTTATATATATACCTTTATTAATTAATTTTGTCAAAGATATATATGATATATATAGATAAAATTTTGGAAGTGCACGGGGTCCCGGGACCCCGTGGGACCCTTAGAGGGTCCGCCGTTGGTATCATCCATCATATTCCCACCTTCGCAGACTGAATCACTCATATGATCACCCCTATCGGATCGGTCTCCTCGGATTGGGCGTTTGCCAGCTGATCCAATTGATTCTGTATGGTATGAAAACCTAATGTCGTTTGCATAAACTTCTTGAGTGTTTCTTCCAGGTTGATGTGGGTTTGCTGCCATTCAGGCATCTTATGTTCCGCCTCCTTCAATTGATTATGTGGCTCATTACTCGGGAAGGATGTAGGAGTGGCTGAAACATTTGTGTTTGTAAATTGTGGGGAGGAAGAAGTGGAGTATGCAATTGCCCAGTAAAGATGGTCATTTGGAGGTTTAACGGGGAAAAAGGTTATATGGTGACATCCTCCACAAGAGGAGAAAATGTTATTCTTAGGCAAAAGATGATACACTTCTTCAAGAGTTTTAGTTTGGAGAAGATGTTCAAGAATGGAGCCTTGTTTTGTCCAAGGGTATTGTGGTGATGGATAATGATGAGAAGATTGAGATTGGAAGGGTTGCATGGATAAGAGAACTGAATATTTTGTGGTGTAGAAGAGTAATATTGGTGAGGAGTGTAATATTGATGATGAGGGTAAGGAGGGAAAGGTGTATATGGTGAATATTCCATGGAGATATGAGGGTAAGGAATTCCTCCAGGAATTGAACAGAATGGATTCATCTCATGCCTCTTAGAAAAATACCTGAAAGGTTAGCACAGAAAAAATCCTACAAAGAAATAAAAAAAGTAACTAAAAAAATATTGTTGAAATTAATTAACCATTAAAACCAACACCGTCCCCGGAACGGTGCCAAAAACTAATGTCAGTTTTCTCGCACTAAAATATGTAATAGTAAAGTGGTGAAAGTACGAGTATCGTCTCCACAGGGACGGACAAAAGGGAAATAAGAATTAACTAAATTCAACGATGAGAAAGAAATCAAATAAAAAGCAATGGTGCGAGATTTGAATGATTGGAAAATTAAAATGCGATTAAACGAATAAATAGCTTAGTTTCTCTCTAATTAACGACGAAGGGAACATGGATTGATTCCAGGATAACCATATTTCCGGCAGATCAGGCTTAATCGCATGAAATTAATTTAATCGAGTCTAGCTAATCATTACTGAGTTCTTACCGCTCTCGCGGCGTAGAGTACAATAATTTAGGAGACCAGGCTGATCTAGTGCTGGACTCGGGCCGGTTCGGGCCCGGTTCGGGCCTGGGCCCGGCCGGGCCTCGGGCCAGGAAAGGGAGGCCCGAGCCCGAACCGCCGGTGGTCGGTTCCGGTCCCGGTTCCGGGCCAAACCGGGCCGGGCCGGCCCACTTAATTTTTTTTTTTTTTTTTTTTTGTTCTCCTATTTAATCCCCTACCCCTCCCCCTCAACCCCAAACCATCCCAAACCACCTCAAATGGCCCAAAATACCTAATCCAACCTAAAACTTAAAAAAAATTTCAAAAAAAAAAAAAAATTAAAATCCGGCCCGGACCGGGCCCGAACCGGCCGGGCCGGTTCACCAAAACCTGGGCCCGGGCCCGAACCGCCCAGCAGCCGGGCCGGGCCGAACCGAACCGGTGGACCCACCGGGCCCCGGGCCGGGCCGGGCCAAACAGTAACCGGGCCGGGCCGCCCGGCCCGAGTCCAGCACTAGGCTGATCTCTCATGCGACAAAATCCTAAGCTATTGTCAAGACGAGCGAGCTTACGACCCCTTAATCGCTACTAATATCAAAGCGAGTGTTTTTTTTTTTTTGCAAAAGGGAAATATTATTAATAAAAGGAAAATAGTACAATGGAGAAAGGGAGAAAAGAAAAAAAAAGGAAAAGCAATACAAAAAGAGAAAAGGTTTGAAAACTAAAAACAGAGCTAGTCCCATGGGAAGTCTCTGGATTGAGATCTTGTTCTCATGCTATGCCGCCGTTTGTGTGTGTGTGAATGTGTCTTAGAATAAACTAGATCTCTCTTAATTTATTCTACAAGCAATTGTAATTCTAGCCGCGGTTCTAGGTTACAAGAGATATCAATTAAATTATTCAAACACAAATTAAACGACATTCATGCAATTAATCCATCAAGAATCTAGTCATATATCATGATTAACCTCTTCATCAATCCCAAATCCCTAATTAAAACTACTCACAATTCATAATTGAAGAATCAACAGAATTATGATGAAAAGAATTAATTGTCATTAATTAAAAAAATGAAACTTACAAATAATCTCAGGGTCTTGAAAAACAACGCGGGAAAGTACGTAAAATTTTGTCCCTAGGCCTCTCTGTAAGCTCTGTCACCCCAAAATAGGGTTATGGAGGCCTTATTTATAGAAAATAGGAAACATTCAGCTCAAATTCGGATTTTCGGAGGCAGGCACGACGTGTCTGGCCTGCGTGCTCCCGAAGCATATGCGCGCGTTGCAATCAGGCATGGCGTGCCTCCCTGGTAGGCACGACCGTGCCTGACCTCAAGTAGCCAGGTCGTCATATATTCCTTCTGCTTTGAGTATTAGAAAAATGCAATTGAGTATCATGGTTTGTTCCCCCGCATCTATAATCAACTCCTATGTGAATCTAATGTAATAAGATACTTTTGAAAATATGTAATGATATAACATTTTAAAATAAGCATAAGACCAATGTCAAACGAACATACGTAACTTACAAAATGAGAATTGGAAGATTCAAAAGCTAATTTAAATTTTCTAATGTGTTCAAATATTCAATTGTGTATGTTCATTTTTTTAGTCATTATACTCATAAAGTCTTTTCTATAATATGTACATCTAGTGGATTCGTTATTAACTACTCCGTATTATGTATGCACATTTATTTTAAGTCATACTCATTTTAGTATAACATAAAACTCATGTTAGTTGTTAACACACAATATTTAATAAACTAATAAATATTCATCTTAAAATTAAAAATAGAAAAAAAACATTAATACCTAAAATATTTATAATGCACAAATTAAAAAATTTAGTTAGAAGGTTGATTTAAAAGTGAAAGAAAGAAAGTACGTCAAACAATAAATAATACTACTCCCTCTGTCCCAAATTGTTTTGCAAAGTCAACATTTTTTGGTTAACCAATAATAAAAGTCAAACCTTCTTATCGATAATAAATTCAATTTTTAATAATTAAAATTTACATATTCATAAACTACATTGAAATCTCTTCAAAGTTGTAAACTCCAAAATGGAATATAATTTAAAATTGACACCCTAATTAAGTGAACAAAACGAATCCGTTTGACCAAGAAAAGTCAAAATTGCAACTCAATTTAAGACGGATGTAGTATGATATTTTATATAATCATAAGAATTCAATAAAAAAAATAAAGTAAAAGATTGTTAAAGAAAAAGTAAAGAAACTAAAAGGGACAAGAAAAATAAACAAAAAGATAGAAGCAAAACAACTCAAAGTAACGAAATAAGAAAAGAAACGAAGAGAAGAAAAAATCGTAAAGCACTCCTGATGCGTAGGGAGCCGCAAGGGAGAAAAAATATTAACGTAAGAAAAGGTTACATGGTGGGAGGCTGGGAGCACGATACGCACATTATAGCCTTGGATTTCAAATATATTACAAAAATACACGGCTGTACCATGCTCAAGGTACAGCCGGTTGTAGCATATAATTTACCATTACCCATTTATATTAACCGGGTATTCCCCGTTTCGTTCTCGTTACCCAATCAACACGGGGTGAAGTTAGATTGTCATCCTAATTAAGACACGAAATTCACCGAAACATGGAGTAGGACGTGGTTTTGAATCCCAGCTGGTTTTGAGAAGCAAGATGGGCAGGCATGACAACTGAAAAACAACACTGAACGCTGATCCGAGGGATATTTTGGACTTTGCCAAATTACAATTCATCTGAAGCACTGTTCAGCTTTTTTGAGCCGGGAATAACTTTTTCTAAGCTTCCGTATGACCACCTAAAAAGCAGATGTAGATGCTAATGGCAGGAAAACAAGTGACAAACAGTTTCAACAAAACCGGACAATGGAATCAGCTGAATATTGTACCATCATATCAATCTAATGGTTTGGTAATTGGTACCTCACAAAAGGTGAGCATTTTAATTTCTAAGCAGTGGGATGTACACATATGCACAACTAGTGGCAGCTGGCTTAAAATTGTACTCCGTATATATTGACACTCTGTGCCCATTTCTTTACACGACAGAGACTTATATATGCATATGAATCACTTCATTCGAAGGGAAAGTTTGGCACATTTCCTCCTTGGATATGGATGAGAGGCAGCTAAATCATGAACCTGGTGTAGAACATGCTGTGGTATTACTGGTATGGAGCACTGTTTACCCTTTCGTGTTGGCCTCCCCTGTTATAAAGTAGCATATGAGAGATATCACCGTTGGAAACTGAAAGGACATTTGGTTACACATATATACTCCAGCCGTCCCAAGATGAAACGGGCTATCCCGAGCCAGGCCCATTTCAAATTTGACGAAAAAAATATTTTATGCGTAAAAAAACTACAGTATAAACACAAAATTGCAGTACGCAAATTTATATAAGAAAGTTCTTTTTTACCGCGAACCCCAATATTCTCCTAGCTGAGGAGTTCCATTTGAGTTTGGCACGGGTTTTAAAAAAAAATGATATAATTCTTGTTTTAAAATTGTAACCTACAGAAAATAAAAGAATGTCGACGAGTCCACAAAAATAAGATAAAGTGGAAAAGAAAACGTTGGTGGAGTTTAATTTTAAAAAATGTGAATATATTTTTATATTTTGGGGTAGCCAAAAAAAAGAAAGTGAGTTACAAATTGGGGAGACAAATGGAGTATAAATAGAGAGAAAACATTACCCTCATCTTTTGTGAACTTCCACGGCTTGCCCTCATAAGATTTCTCCACTTGTCCTTACAGAAGAAAGGCAGTACTTGGTTGGAAATTAAGTAGCAATAATAACACAAAATAATGAAAAAAGTATGACTAAAATAAGAACAATGTAAAAAAATATGACTTTTAATACACATTGACTAGTACTTCTGAAGAAACTGGAGTGACTATAACAGTATTTTGCTTTCGTCATATTTTTGTACAAGAATTCTGTTTTCATATTATTATAGGAAAAAACCAATATGAACAAAGCTTGTTTATTATACCTTCAGGTCTGAAGGACTGCGATGAGGCGATGCGTGGAAGAAGAACCTCTTTATGTCAACCCATTTTCCAACACCGAACTTTGATATGCCTTCAACCAAATTTGTTACTTCTGTAATTGACCAGAAGTTGTGGTTCCTTCTTTTTTGCTTGATGTTAATCCTCGTGGTCTTCTTTTGTTTATTTTCAGATTCATCTGTGGCTTCCGCTGACTCCCCAACTGAATAAGTATCATCATCTTCCTCTGATTCAAATAAAGAATTGCCAGAGACATTGCTATACCTGTCGCGTCTTTTATTCCTGCCATTCACCCTTTTGTGTCCCTGAAATCAAAACAACACATGCAAATGCCAAGATTTAACATGCTAAAGCACCCCTAAAGGAGATCTGCTGTAAAGCTTGGTTGCCACTTTTATTTTTGCATGAGTTTATAATGTTAACTACTACGTATTTTAACATTACATTGAAGTTTATTTAATTGAAGTATCCTCTTCACTATTTCTATAATGAAGTGTTAGGATCAAGTTCAATTGTAAATGAAAGTTCTTCTCTTCTTTAAATGCCACAACAGCATGTTGGACATAAGCAGCTGACCTGGCAACATATGGCACCTATCACCAATTAGTAAGAAGAAACTTCTTCCTTTCCGAAATAATATCCATACCATCTTTTTTTGTCTGTCTATAAACAAAGACCTAATTTTTATTCGGAAGGACTTTGTAATTGAACTTTACACCCCATTTTTAAAATCCTTTGAATTGGTACCCGAGCCCCACGAGTGGTGCACAACTTCAAATATTTGATCTAATTATGCAGCATTGCAGTGCAAAGTTTAAGAAATAGCCCACTTTAGGGGCTTGGGGGTGTGAACACAAAGGATCTAAAAATGGGATGAAAGTCCAAATTTAAAATAAACAAGAAGTGCAAATTGAGACTTTTCCTTCTTTATTGGGTAAAAGAAGTCAGAGGTTGGAAGTCAAAAGGAAAAAATTGATTCATTGAGAACCATGTCAAGTCAAAGTGTGAACATTAAGGGGCTGAGGGGAGTACTACTTACATAACAGGTTCTTGCGCATACAAGTGATACAACCAATTTATTGCAAAAAAACAAGTATATTGACATTATTACACAAGGATAGTTTCATTCAAATGAAGGTGTGCAGATCGCCTTTGCCATGAAAAGGAGGACTGAGGGAGAGAAATGGAATTATGACATAGAGGACAATGATGGGAAGATTGATAATTGTTTTGCAACTGCATATTAGCTCACCTCAACCCTGATAGATTCGTCTTCAACACAATGAAGATGAAGAGGAATTCTGTTGCAACTTCGAAAATGATTGTTTCTGAAAGCTTTTGGTTTTGACCAACCATCATGCAAAATGTTACCTTTTGGGAGCAATTTTGAAATTTCAGATTTCCTCATATCAAGTTCGGAATTTCGTCCAAGCATGAAGCACAAGCTTTGGAAAGAGTCAAAAGTAGAGACTTTTCTTTTCATATTCACACGTTTCACCCTTTGCTTTCTTTTAAACTTGAATATACTCGAATAGGGGGTAGATGCTCTAAGGAGGTCCTCATCAGCTGTGGGTGATATTACCACGCCTATATTTTCATTCGTTGGTATAGACACCCTTAATACCTCATCAGCTGTGGGTGATATTTCCTCACCCGTGTTTTCAGTTGTTGGTATAGACTCCCTTAACACCTCATCAGAAGCACCACAACTTCCGTCGAAATCAACAGAGCTGTGATCAAAGTTTGTTTTACCGCCATGTACTTCATTGTTCATAATAACATGAAGGTTCTGAGCATTTTCATCAAGCATAATACCTAAGAAGGGAAATATATGAACAACTCTTATTCGAGTAAACAAAGGACTGATGAAGTGATGATGTTCATGAATTATCTAATTTAAACAGTAACTGTCATCTGATGAACATTGTCAGCTTACCCAGCAAGTAGTTTTCACATGCAACAAAGTCACTATTTCCTTCCCAAGGCACCCTTTCACATTTTCCAAGGGGGTAAAAGAGACTGTCATTTTCAGTGATACTGGAGCATACCTGTTCTACAGTATTACTATCTTCAGTAAAACTTGAATGCAGTACCTCTGCGTGAAACCATAAAAACCCATTGTAACCATAATTACACAAAAATAAAAACAATTTAGAAAGGATGTGTGGAATAAGTGGTTGTTATTGTTTTATATGATTATATCTCAAAGTAGGAAATATTTCTTACCATCTATGCCACAGCATTTTGGTTCTTCTAGTAGACATTGCAGCCCCATGGCTTCTTCTTCCAAACCTGAAAAGACTGGTCCTACTTCTGCAAACTAGATTAAAAAACATAAAACATACGAGGTGGCTGAGAAAACCATAAACTTGGTGGAAATGACAGTTTTCTCCTTCATGAAATGATCAAGGGTAACCAAAAAGTAAAGTGAAATCGAGTTTCTTGAAGTTGAGTACCAATGGAGAGTCCAACATATGAACTTCTGCATTTTGTTTTAGTAGCTTCAGATTGTATCCTGATGCTACAAATTGAAAATCTCTTTGGCTGATCTCCATAATATTGTCCAACATTTTCTTTTGGAACTGAAAGAACAAAATGTAAATCAAAACAACTCATGTTTAACCTCGATATCAATAGTCTCTTCAAGCACAACATAGCTCAGGTAAGACAAGAATGCAAGCAGATGAAGAGCCAAAGTTGTCCAAAAAGCAAAACAAACTGTCATTACAGGGAGTAATCACCACCTTTTTATTGCCATAACATAACAGAAATACCAAAGAATTAAACAGCTACCGGATTCCCTACATAAAGCTAAATAATTACAATTTTCTTCTTCACTTTCTCTCAACCATCTACAAAATCCTCCCCCTCCCTACAAAATCCTCCAACCAAAGAAAGGGTAAGGCTAATACAAATTCAGTACAAATTCCAAGAAATCAAATACCGCCATTCACCAGCCGAGCATTTCTCATAACAAGATTGACACAATGGAACTCTGAAATCCTTACGCACTAACATAATTAGACAATTAGTCATACTTTAGTTAATCATCATTACTTCTAATTCTCTCATAATGAAAGCAACAAAGACAACCATAAATGCGTAGGCCACCGATCTAATAACTGAACTAAGAAAGAAACAAAAGAGAAGTTAAGAACGAAGAAGAAACATCTGCATTGTATGCACATAGTTTCATGCAAGCACAAATAACCTGAAACATATGCAGATTAAGGAAGATAAGAGCTGGGGCATTACATATCTACATTTGCGGGCGCTAAGAATGCTGTGGGGACTTACAAGAGGGAAAAGGCGTGTGCGATAAAAGGAGAAACCATGAAGATTTTCACCCACTCCGAGATTTTGAGGATGGGATTTCTCGAAGAATGTTTACTGAAGTAGCTCTGTTTTCCAGTAGTGTGCTTCATGTGATGTTTATGTACAAAGGGGGCGGACGTAAGGCAAAGGGTAGAGGAGAATGGAATGGAAGAATTGGAGTCCGGAGAAACGACACGTGGGAGTCGGGGGAAGCACAGTGATCTCCCCGCCGTCCACGTGCCCGAAGGAACATCGTACGACACACCACACTCCTCACGGCTCAGGTGACCACCTGATACGACCTCTGTCTGTTTGGATTGAGGTGTTTTTTTTGCATTGGATTGAATGTTAATAAAATATACGGAGTACTAGTATACATTAATCATATTTTTTATATATCAATTTAATAAAACATTAATTAAATCTGTAACTAATATTTTGCTTTTATTTTTTTCTTAGAAAATTATGAAATAAAAAATACATATATCGATTTAAAATATAAATATCATTGAATATTATTTTTACTTTTTTCGGCTAATATAAATTGAAATGGGATCAAGAAAAGTTTGATATTAACCCCGTCTCATTGATTGTTTCTACTAGTAACTAATGTTAAAGTATTTACTAATCGTCACTTAGAAACAGGCCAACATTAATATAGAGATATGTGTAGGGAAGATTAATAATCAAGAAGAGAAGTTTAAGAAAAGAACTCGCAACATACATTCGATCAACAAGCTTCAAGATAGCAAAACCAAATAAAAGAAGTTTACTCCTCATTTGAAGTCTAAATATGCTTAGAAATATAAAGAAAATACGAATCTAAACTGAGTTTAAGTATATGAAAGAATGAATATGTAAACTGTATGGGAAGGAAATTAAATGAGTGCTTTTGTAGTAGTTTTGGGACTTCTAGGTCAGATACCCGACCGGGTATCCGACGCAGAAGCAACAAAAGTACTAAAATCAAGTCATATCCGATTGGGTGTGTCAATATACCCGGCCGGGCATATGATAAAATCTAATTATCCTATGTTCTCTTACTTTATTTGACCTTGTATATTTGTGTGTTGAATCATACCCGACCAGGTATTGATTATACTTGATCGGGTGTATGATCAAATCAGATTTCTTGAATGATGTTTTGCTCCCTTGTACCTTCCTTTAGTCCTTTATCATCTCTTCCATGATCCTTTATTGATCATTGATTGATTCTTACTCAGGATTATTCTAAAGTTATCAAATTACCACAAACTAGGAAAATAAAAAATTGCACCGAAATGTATAATATAATTACTACAACAACATACAGTAAACACTACTTAAAAGTGAAAGCATAAACATGGAAAAACTAACACAACCAATGCTACTAAAGGACATATATGTGAAGGGGGCAACTAAGGAGGAGGCGGGGGTGAGATGAGGCGGCGAGAGATGGAGAGAAGGGTTACGCCGTAGACGAGGAAAACAGAAATGGATTGAGAGAAGAGAGGGGACTGAGAGAAGACATAATATCAGGAGACGGACAGATGAGAGAGGATTATTGGGTAAAGCGGGGCGGGTAGGTATTAAGATGAGAGAGATATTAAAGGCATTTAATATTAAAGAGATTTCAAAAATAGAAGTGTGAAGTTCAATATGAGACACCTCGAGAAGGAAATTAAAGTGAGAACTTAAATATGGGATGGACGGAGTTTTAAAAGTGCAACAATAATAAAATGTACAAAAAAGAGGGGTTGAAGTTTCACATATATGAATGTTTGTGAGCGTGTGTTTATATATTCAATTCAATGTATACATCAACATACAAGTAAAAGATAAAGAAACTCAAAATCATAGGGTATTTTCTCAACAATGGTTGAGGCTTTGCCACCACCATGAATGCCCCTGAAGCATTCAACCATTGACTTTCTGAGAGATCCTGATGTGGGTAGCTGCTCACACACCCACTCAAGCAATGAATCCAAATCATCTGCAAAATTGTGCATGTTTCTTAACATCAACTCCGGGAACGCAATCTTCTTGGCACTCTTTCTCACAATCATTGAAGCTTGTAAATACTCCAACTTTGATTTTTCGAGCTCCGCCATCACCCCCTCTGCTGAGTATATTTTCACCTACCAATTAAATTAAATATGTATTCAATCATATATACGAAGTACTTGTATATAATTTTATTTTTACTCCAGGGGGTGTTTGGGGGAGGGGAGTTGGGAGTCTGAAGTAAACTGGGCTGAAACCCACTTCATTGAGTTTCAAACCCGAGATCTCTCATAAGGGAGAGTGAGTCGGCGACCAGCGGAACTGGACCGCTTCCTGTGTGTGTGTGTGTGTGTGTATAGTTTAATACTTCATGCTAATTAATACGGAGTAGTAAAGTTATACATAGGTGAAATATGACTTTTATATGGGATGAATTTTTCTTAGTACTCCATAACATAATTTAGTATACTCCCCAATAAGTTTTGTAAACATGAGACTATTAAATAACATGATTTAGTATGGACTTACGGCTGGTGAAGAACGAGTTCCACAACATAACGCGAATATGGTGTTAGGATCAAAGGACTCGAATCCATAGAACCCTGGGATTGTGTTTCCCTTGTCGCCTTTGTTATCCTTAATAGAAATAATAATATATGATCCTAAGTAAATAAATATATAAAAATATGATCTAAGCAAGGATTATTGTGAATTACACAGCATATCCTTAGGTATGAATTATTATCATTTATTAATATATGTTACCTCTTTTTCTAGTGAAGACATAAATGAGTTTCTCAAGATAGCATGCTCAATAGCTTGTGCATTGATCACATAACCTCCGATGTCTAATGTTGCCTGTATTAATTATGTATACATTAGCCCACATAAAATAAGCTAATTAGCAATTAGAGATTATATATAGTATTAGTAGAAGGGAATCCTTTGGATGTAGAATAATTCCAAACTAATATCATGTGTTTGGGCTATTATTAGTATGTGAAAATGTCTAAGGAGTATGTCAGTTTGTTCCCGAAGGAAAACCTTACTAAGATTAATAATAGACATGATGCAACAAGTCATCTCAAATCCTAAATGTAGAGTCTACAATCACTCTATAAATCTTGTGTTTATTTGGATATTTCTTACTAGCATCTATATGTGGAAGGGAGGCCAATCCAAGCATTGTACCTCCCGATGGATGAAAAAAAACTATTGTTAAAGTGTGAAACTTTTATTATAAAAATTTATATGAATAGATTATATTATTGACATTATGATATACTCCGTATGTAGTATGACTATTAGGCTATCTCACAACGATCACATATAAAGATATCTACTACTAAAAAAAAGTCTTGAATTACACTTCATATCAACTTGAGAGATAGAATTCTAAGACTTAATTTGATATAAGAGTAAATTAAGCTCTACACCAACGAACTAGTCACCATATTAAAGTTATGAGGAATTTGACTTTACATCCCATTTTTTATTAATATTTGATTTTGGACTATCTTTCTAAATCATTAATAATATATGCACCCCAATTCACTAAAAAATCATTTGATTTTGCATCACACTCCTTCACATTTTTTTGACCGATGGAGTACATACATTAATGATTTTAAAAGTGGGATTTGAAGTACAATCACCCAAAACATGGAGTGTAAAGTCAAATTCTCCCTTAAGGAGATATAACATTGATAGAGTATATAGACTCGGACCCCCGGGTCTCACGACTATTGGGCCCGGACAGCGGCCCACATACGCTCAGTAGATAGCATTTATCTCATTGTACACTCTATTTTTCATGTATATCCATTAGAATAGATTAGATACCATTTATTAGCCATTTATTGGCCTTTTATTGTAACTGGACCAGCCAGGCCCAAGCCTGGAAGCCCAGCCCTCTTTTCTCCTATAAATACTCCCTATGGGAGACATGTAAAGGGGGGGATGATTGGAGAATTGATTGGAATTCATTATATATATCACTTTATCTCTCTAGCTCTCCCTTCTCTCTAAGATTAAATAAACTATCATTTGGTGCTTTCATTGAGAGCTAGAACAAATCAAGTGAGATCTCCCAAACCATGCGAATGACAATGTTTCGGCCCTTCTAAAGGCAACATGCCACCTCGCTTCGTATGTCACTACATTCCTTGGCCAAAAGGAAAACTCCCACCATGCATCGACAAAACAGAAACTTCAACAAGAGTAAAAAAAAAAGGCAAGCAAAAAGATGGTGGGGCCTTCGGCCCATGTCCTTCATTAAAATCTCCGCAGCAAACCAAAAGCCAAGCATCGGCCAGCAGCACACCATCGGCCAAACAATGGAGGGAGGCACCGCATCGGCCGGCATACAACGGCCAGCAACATTCCGGCCGCGACGCATCGGCCGGCCACACCATCGGCAGGCATACCTCGGCCAGAGCCCCTCGGTCGTGGCTCATCGGCCAGCAACCGCTTCGGCCAATGCCACTTCGGTCAACACCGCCTCGGCCGGCACCGATTCGGCCGGTGCCGCTTCGGCCAGCCGGCCATATTGTCACAGCGCTTCCCACCGACAGCATACATCGTCGGCCGCATCTCATCGGCCCCACAAGGATGCCCCATCGAAGCACTTACGGCCAGGATGCCCGCATCGGCTAAGAGCAGTTCCCCATCGGCTAAGAAATAAAAGGCACATGGCAGGCATGTAAATGAACCCTCCTCAGCCACACCACATCGGCACGTCGCATCAGCCGGATCCTCACCGGCCGGCACCACATTAGCCGGCTTTTTCGTCGGTGAATCCGCGTTAGCCGGCGTCACTCCGGCCGGCCCCGCATCGGCGCATTGCATGAGCCGGCTCCTCATCGACCGGCACCGCATCGGCCGGCTCTTCGTCGGTCAGTCCAGATCAGCCGGACCGCATCGTCCAAAACAGGACCGCATCGTCCGTTCTGCAACGGCCGGAACACATCGGCCAAACACCGTCCAAACACATCGGTTAAAGCAGGGGCTCCGCTCCAGTCAGGGTCACAACGGTTGAAACAGGACCCTCATCCACCGTCGTCCCTTGCTCCCATCGGCGACCAATCGTGGACCCCTCG